TGGGACCAAGTCATTGTTTTGCAAGTCACAAGTAAGTCTCGAGTCTTTGCATTCAAGTCCCGAGTCAAGACAGACAAGTCCCAAGTCAAGTAAGAATATATGCTTCTAGGTGTTATATCGAAGCCAATGAGCCATTATTTGGAACCTCAATGAAACAGATTTAAAAATATGTGAGCGGAAACGCAGAAAGAACTGCTTTGAAAGAACTAGAAGAAATAACTGCTAGCATACTTTACAAGTGAGAGGAAACATGCAATTTGGATGCAGGCAAACTCATGAAGACAATCTTTTAAAAATGCTGAGCTACCATCCTTTATAACTAAGAGCAACAAAGACGAAATCATTTAATAGAAAAAAATGTTGTACGTTAAATGTTAAGTTTATAATATGCATAGTTGATCACTAAATTTAGGGGCTATGTGCGCTATAGGCCTACAGACTGATTTACAACACGTGAATTCATTCATTTATCCTGAAAGAAATGGAAGTGGCATGAGTGCCTGGTGAAGAGGGAGAAAAATGAAGTAGCCTATATTTTATAGTTATATATACACAATTCTCATTTTGTGAAAGAAACACTTCTTCAAATTATATTTTAAATGATCATTAGGCCTATTGCCGCTTGCCCACTTCAGACAGGCCTGGTCTCAGAGAGGTGTTTATTACAAAAAAAAGAAATAAATTAAAGCACATCGAGCGGGATGCCCGGGATGCGTATCCGTCACTCTTGGTGCACCTCGGTGTCGAACAAACAAAAGAAGTGAGGAATATTTAACAGAAGCGGTCACGGGGATGATGAGGCGAGCACCAGTGAAGTGCCGCTCCGTGTGTCTGCTGGGCGGCGATCAAACGGACAGGGCAGCGCTTTTCACGAGCGAAGATCGCTAGCCGAATCATGTAATTTTTTATTTATTTTTTCTTATCTCGGCTATCTCTTTTGTCGTAAGTTATGTTATTACTCCATTAATGTATACTAGGTCGAGTCGAGTCGCAAGTCATCAAATTTGGGACTCGAGTCCGAGTCAAGTCTCGAGTCATGTGACTCGAGTCCACACCCCTGTGAATGACTCTCCAAATCGAGAGGAAAGCTAACAATGCCCCACGCTCAGGATATCTTGTAAGGAGGCTCACTGTCGTAGGCTGCCACCTGCCAATGTTAAGCCCTGTGTCTGAAATTGCCCCCTATACCCTTAAATAGGGCACTATTTGAGGGGACAGCCATTTTTAGTAGTGTCCAAAACCTTAGTGGACATTATCAAATGCACTCATTCAATCCCACTATGCACAGCAATAATGAGTGTCCAACTGATGTATGCTCAACGGCTAGAGAATACCCATAATGCACTGTGCGAATGAATTGCCGTGTCTCGCCAGAAGATGGCGTCCGCAGCTGATTCATCCATCCATCCATTCATTTTACAAAACGCTCATCCATGGTGTACAGTGTAATACAATACAGGTATAAATTCAATGTAAATTGATTATTAAATTGTTTAATTAGGGTTTATACATAATTTCCATGACAGAGTTCAAGATAAATCCTTCGTACTACTGGAGCTGCCAGTTTCAAATGAT